ACCAGTCACAGTGCCCGCTTCCTGCCAATTGGCATTCCCTTCCTTAATGGACCTGTTGAAAGCATGTCAAATACTAGGTGGACCTAGTAGTTTGCAGCCAAGTTTCTCCTCCCATTTTCTGAGTGCTCTGCCATAACTCACTCTAATCCTTGGCCAAGAGAGACAGTAACCAGCACTTTTTGAATATCTTGTTGGATTCACAGTTCAACGAGGCCCAAAGAAGCAGGATGGCAACCCTAGTATGTAAACAAACAAAAGCCTGCAGCCTCTCCAAAAGCTTACTCCCTACTTGCTAGAGAAAACTCCTCCCAGTGTGTTCAGGGGTTTTAGTGCTGCTTTCAGACAGCACAAAGCTTTCATGACAGTGAATGGCAACCCCAAGCTTTTAACGATTTCCCAGGAAACTGCATTCCCAGACTAAATAATGTACACACAGTAAAACTTCACTGTCTCTTGCATTTCAGCAAAAAGACCCCCAGTACAACAGAAGGCCCTTGGAAGGAGCATGGGGAATAATCATGACACTGGTGTTCTCAATCTAAAGGCTCACAGAAACAGACAGATTCCCTGACTTTCCTTCTCTTTCAGAAAAAAAATGCATATGGATTGTTTTTCAAGTCTGTGGAAGAAAAAGATACATTTCCAAACTGTACATCAGGGTCTTTGCTCTGTAGGTTAAATGTTTCTTATCCTTTAAATTAATCAACATGAAGAGCTGCACGTTTCAGGTAGTGAAGCCTCAGAGGGAAAGTCAGCTAATGAAAGACCTAGCATCAAGAATCCTGTCAAAAATCCTAACTCAACATGCATTTCCTAGTAAGACTACAGAGAAAAAGAGATGGAAATAGAAACCGAAAGGAGCCTTCTCAGGCAAACTAGGTCAGTTCCTGTTAGGACAGGCAAGCTGGCTCTACGGTCTCTCTATCTAGAGCTCCCCACATTCACTCTGACTGATGCCCGCTTGAGCGCTGCTGTGCACCTTTGCTTTTCTGCACCTCGTGGTTTCACGTAGGCAGTCTGCAACACACACGCAGATGGTTTGTACCCACTTGCTCTTGTGCCAACATTGTCATTTAGATGAAAGGGTTAGTTTTTTCCTCCTCATTTTTCGCTTTCCAAGAGTCTCTTGGAATACAGCTGCATGTAACGCAGTGTTTCAATGAATACTTCAAAGACCATTATCAATACTTCAAAGGTTATTGTGAGCAGCCCTGCGGAGAAGGACTTGGGGATGATGGTTGATGAAAACGTCAACATAAGCCAGCAGTGCGCACTTGCAGTCCAGAAAGCTGACTGAATCCTGGGCTGCATCAAAAGGAGCATGGTCGGCAGGGCAAAGGAGGTGATTCTGCCTCTCTACTCTGCTCTCATGAGACCCCACCCAGAGTACTGCCTGCATACAGTTCTGGTGCCCCCAGCATAAGCTGGACATGGAACTGTTGCAGCAAGTCCAGAGGAGGGCCACAAAGTTGACAAGGAGACTGGAGCACCTCCTCTACAAAGACAGGCTGAGAAAGTTTGGGCTGTTCAGCCTGGAGAAGATCATGTTGCATGGAAACCTCACAGCAACCTTCCAGTATCTGAAGGGGGCCCACAGGGAAGCTGGAGAGGAACTCTTCATCAAGAATTGTAGTGACAGGACAAGGAGTAAATGGGTTCAAACTGAAGAGGAGAAATTGATGTTAGATACATGAAGAAATTCTTTTCTGTGAGGGTGGTGAGGCACTGGAACAGGTTGCCCAGAGAAGCTGTGGATGCCCCATCCCTGGGAGTGTCCAAGGCCAGGCTGGATGGGGCTCTGAGCAACCTGGTCTAGTGGAAGGTGTCCCTGCCGCAGGAGGGTTGGAACTAGATGATCTTTAAGGTCCCTTACAACTCAAACCATTCTATGATTCTAGACCCAACAACGAAAAAGAGAAGTCCCAGAGTGCCACTTTCAAGACACTCTTTTCTAACCCCTTGCCAGTCTTCTCCTTGTGCCAGTGTACCTGTCTTCTGCAGCTGTCCACTTAACAGAATCTGTGAACCAACCACCCCAGAAGCCACCCACCAAAACAAGGCTTGCTTTTGGTCACCTCAGCTCCCCATTTCAGCTTACCAAACTGCCTCTGCTCTCCAGTTGTGAAGAGGCAGGAGAGGAAAAGGGAAGAATGTTCCTGTATTCACAGAGGTGAATACAGCTTCTAAATCTATTTTGTTAGCCTACCTAGTCAAGCTCTTCTATATTCTCCTCAAATACAGGTAGCTCAAGGACTATCTCATCCAGTCTTGGAAAAGACACAGAGGATCCACATCCATTGTTCTGAAACGTGGATCAGAATTAGTATACATCAATAAATGTATTATTACATGATAGGACTACATCCATTGTCACTCTTTCCATCAAATCACATCACTTTTGTGACTTATCCTTGATCATATGTGGTCTCTTTTCTCTTCCAGAAGTTTTCTCATGTCAATTCCTAAGCTTATACTATTATTATTTATTCCTATTGCACAACTTCATCATACACCCCATTTCTATCATTCTAGCATTCCTTATCATCCAGCTGTTGCACAACATTTCAGTCTTCCTTTATAATAGATTCCTCAAGTTTGCTCATTATACTTCAATTTTATCGTGTAAACAATACCAGTCTTGAGAAACATCCCTTGCAAGCACCTTTCAAGCTAATAGTTCCTCTTCTGACTCAAATCTATTCTGCTTCCTCTTCTCCATGCTACACTTTACCCAAGTACCAGCACTTACACTAATCCTCCAGTATCTCCACCTTAAAAAAAATAATGTGATCTGTTATCAAGTTTCTGGCAGATGAGAGTTACTCCGTTTCTTTCACAGATAAAAGAATTCAATTGCTTATTCTTATAAAAGATGCAGGTCAGTCAGGCACAATCTATCTTTAGCGAATGCACATAGGACTCAGTCTACTTAGTGTCATGTTATTAATTAATTCTTTCCTTCAAAAATTCTCTAGAGTCTTGCATACTACTGATGTCAAACTCATTAGGCCATAGCTGTGCAGCTCCCTGCCTCCAGTTCTTTCAGGAAACATTTTCCACGGTTCAGTAACAAATCTGCTAAGTCAGAGGCAGAATATATTTAACATCAGATTTCTGGTTAGATTTCCCCTAGGAAGTCTGGCTGTTTGTGGTTCTACCAACTGTCATTCCATTCCTGCAGTTCTTCCTGTGACACAGCTACCCTGTCCCCTTCCTAAATTGCCATCCTCTCCAACTTCTCCAGGTAATTTCTTGAGATACTTAGAGAAAACTTTGGTTCAGAGGTATTCTGACCCAATTTTTGACAATGTCCCAAAACGTACTTATGCAAACATTTTACAAATGTAAATACAAATACAAACAAAATAAAATTCACTGCTACTAATTTATAGTTTGGGGGTTTGTTTGTTTTCTTTTAGATTGGGTTTCTTTTTCCTTTTTTTTTCCTTTTTGCATCAAGACTGCCTAATGTACAAGAAAAGAAATACAGACCCCAAAAGGAGAACAGAAGCAACAAAAGTCATATCTGCTTTTGTCTCCAGCCTAGGCCTTTTCCAAGAGGGCAATAAGAAGTTGAGGGCAAAAACATTCTCTTCCTCCTACAGACACCCAATTAATGCTCATCCGCTAACAGTCTTTGACAAGAAAGTCTGATAAATATCACAGACTTTGCATACTAGATGATCTAATTACTTCACAGGAACTGATCCTGTGAACATCCATATGTGAACAGCCCCCAAACACCCTGAGGAGAAAGGATGCATTACAAAACCATGCACATCTTTCAGAAACAGAGATTGAAGAACATAGACTAGGAGTTACTGCACTCCAGCCTCCGCTGGCATGAGGAATTGTTACACGTTTCCAGGCTACGCTTCTTTTGTTTACTCAAGCATTAATTTCTCAGCTACCTTTTATAGAATGTGTTCGTGTTAGATCAAGAATAACCATCACATTCATTAGTGTTTTGGCAATTTTGGTAAAGACTCCATGGAAAAACAGTCTCTGGAAATCCAACGTTATATCCATCTGCCCTTGCCACAGCAAAGCAATTGCATGTGCAGGCCAGATGGGCAACTGCATCTCCTGCTTCAAGGGTTAAGGAAAATAAAATAAGAGCATAAAATACCTGTGAAACACATAACATAAAATCCTTTTATATTACAGGCCACATGAAGCAGTCAAGCATTTATGAAAGAGGAGACGAGACAAGCAAAGAAAACTTAAATCCAGGGTGCACTTGTACCCCGGGGCTGTTTGGTACAAGATGTATCTGTGAGCGCTCAGCGCGGCGCTGCCCGGCTGAGCCGGCAGGAAGACAGGACGGGCAGATTAAAACACCATTTGTTTGTTTGTTTGTTTGTTGTCTCAGAGCTGTCTGTCTGAGTGCATTAAGCACGATTCCCGCAGTCACAGGAGAACAGGGGGCCGGCGGGGTGAGCTCTCGCTCCCGGCGGGAGCGCCGAGGCGGAGCGGGGGCGGGCACGGACGCAGCTCCATAACCACGAACTGCCCGGGGCGGGCCCAGCCGGGCAGCCCCAGCCCGGCCGAGGGAACCCCCTGCCGGCGTCCAACCCCTCCTGTACCGCCCCCTGAGCTACAGCGAAGCCCCCCCGGCCCCGCCAGACGCGCCCCTCCCGCAGGGTCTCCAGCAGCCGGGCAGGCGCCGCTCGGCGCGGGGGAGGGCCGGGAGGAAGGAGCGCAGGGGAGAGGCGGGAGTCCAGGCGCCCCCTCACTCACCTGGCAGCCCTTCTTGTGGTGGAAGCCCACCACCACGATGTGCAGCACCGGGCCCCGCTTCTCCATGGAGCAGCCCGGCGATGGCCTCGCCAGAGGATGCCGCCGTGCCCGGGCTCTCGCTCCGCCTCCCGGGGTCCGGCAGGGACGCAGCCCCGGCCGCCTGCGCTTCCGCACCGCCCGGCCCCGGGAGGGCGGGAATGGCGGGCGGCACCGCCCTCCGCCCGTCCCTCACCGCCCTGGCAGCGTGGGGTCACGGAGTCACTGAATTAGTTAGGTCGGAAAGGACCTCCGAGATCGGCGAGGCCAGCCTGTAGGCCGTGCAGGTTAATGGCAGCCTAAAGCGGAGCCTGGGATTGTTTCAGTACAGTTTAGTCAGGTTGGTTGCTGAAGGTTAAAAATGAGAAAAAAATCAAGGCTTCTTCTCTTAGCACTGTTTTGCTTCTAATCCTCTGAGAAAAGGAGGGTCCGGGGGGGACCTCATCGCTCTCTACAGCTATCTGAGAGGAGGTTGTGGTGAGGTGGGGGCCGGTCTCTTCTGCTGTTCCTGCAGTGAGAGGACAAGAGGAAATGGCCTTAAACCAAGACAGGCGAGATTCAAATTAAATGTTAGAAAAAGAATTTTCCCTGTTAGGGTGGTCAGGCATTGGAACCCATTGCCCAAGGAGGTGGTGGAGTCACCATCCTTGGAGGTGTTTACGAGGTGTCAGGATCCGGCTCTGGGTGATGTGGTTTAGGGGTTACAGTAGTGATGCTGGGTGGATGGTTGGACTGGATGATCTCAAAGGTCTCTTACAACATTTACAATTCTGATTCTCTAAACATGTTAGGAGACCCTAGAAAGAAGACAGTTCAAAGAAGAGCACAGGCAAATTTAGCGTAAGAGAAAAAAAAATTTAAAAAATTGTATGTTAAGGCACTCAGACCATGCTCCCTCTTTAATCTTTGTTATGATTCAATTCTGTCTGCTTGAATCATAATGGCATTTGGCAGAGGCTCTATTCTTAATAATTAAGATTCTCTGTGGAAATTGGAGGAAGATAATCTTTTTGAAAGAACTATAAAAGAATAGTGCTTAAAGAAAATCTCATCACTAACATGGTACCCAGAGGCTTGAATTGTAACAATAAAGCATGTAATTACATATTGTTTCACAGCTCCAACAGAAGTGCTGTTACAGAAAAACTATACTGCAGGGAACACAGGAGAAGCTACAAGGAACAATCCTAGCAAGGGAATGATTTCTTACTAGTTTTAGCCTGTAACTGACTGTTTAGTATAATTTCAAATAAAGAAAAATGTATGCAATATTGGCCATTATCTCCTGCAATAAATGAGATATCCCAAAAAAGATGCATAGGAGTTCATTTATGGTTCATTCTCAATTCATTCAGGAAAGTGCAGTGTAATATCACTGTTACTGATATGGATTATGCATTACAGAGGCATCTCAGTGATACTACTAGATAATGGCTCCTCTGAGTAGATTACTAGAATTTTTTTTTTTACTTGAAATTCTCTTTCCTGCTAAAGCAATAAAAATGTTGAACTGACAACATCGGTCTGGTCTAGGAAAACTAACTACTTGACATCATCTATGTTGTTTTCACAGCTCACATTGTGTGTGTTTATGAGGAAGAAAGGAAGGTGAGAGCTGCTGTGAAACAGAAGCTTTTGGAAAAGTCTCAGTCAGAATTTTCCTGAAGGAATTTTCTTTCTCTGTGCATAGCTAACAAATAGCAATGAAAACTCAGCCCTACAGGTCTTTTGTTACTTATAGGTAATATTTTGCTTAAGAAGCACCAGCTGTGGTGTCATTACAGTAGTAATCATAATTTGTTAGTCATTCTTCAATGCATACCAGTAATGCAAAGTTCTCAACTTGGCTTGTGTGCAATGATATTTGTAGAGATGGATAAGCCTTTCATTGGCAGTACGATAGTTTATGTCTGGAAGTACCACCAGACATAAGCAGTGCCCATGGTAGCTGATAGCTCTTGATTTGTTAGGTATAGCCCGGCTTTCTAAAGAACGAAACTGTGAATTTGTGGAGACAAGCATGTCCTTGGATTTCTGTTGAAGAAAAGCATAAATTAAACCCTGGCATGGATTTGAGGTTTGAAAAATAATTTATTCCAGATGGTAATCTCACTTGGTGTTTGCAGTGGATTTTTTTTTAAGCTCTTATCCCAAATTTTAGAAAAAACGATTTCTGTGCAGTAAGGTTCATAACAGTGGTTGGGATTATGATCTCTCACTTGGAAACTCCTGTAAAAGAAATACAAAAGAGAAAAGACTACAAAACAATTGATTGGACATAAATTTAATGAACCTCCCACAACATTAAAAATGGGAAAACATTTTACGAAGACAAAAATTTTTGATTATGTGAAATATGCTCAGCCAGTGCTCAGTGAAGGGAGCATGTTCCTGCAGCATTCCAGCCTGGTGCCTCAGAAACTTGCCATGTACTAGCAGCAGTACAAGTCTGCAAGGACACTTGAGTGACTGACTTTTCTCCCCACTCTTGCAGCATGTGGACAAGTGGTTCTTTGAGTTATTCACACTGATCGCAGGCTGAAATTAATTTTTTGTGAACTTCTCACCAGTTGGGATATGATCAACTGTTTCAAGGTTATTAGTTAGAAGATGGGTCTCTTCTTGCATCTCAGGTTTTGTGGAACTTCTCTCTCATCCTGCTTTGTTCCATTTGGAATGCAGTTTTAGTGCTCTTTGAAAGCCTTGTGGATGCTGTAATTCCCCTAGAAAGCAAAATAATCTTTTTTTTTTTTTTTAAGTCAACAGGACCAAATGTTATTTGAGTTGTTCATTTAGTTGCATTAGGTCACCATGATGTAGGCGAGGATCCAAACAGGCTTCCCCAAGGAAGTAATGCATTTGATTCAGTGGGGATGATGCAGTCATTCTCATGGGATTGATAGAACTCTCAACCGTGCAGGCAAAAAAGTGGAGGTTAGATTGTTGGGGAGGTTTGCAGGCACAAATGCAATGTATCTTCTCCTGCAACTTTGAAGAGGCTTAAATTTGGATGACCAAAACATTGGTCTTGGATCTTGACTGTTCTTCCCACACAAATACTCTATTACTCCTTTTTCTGCACAGCTTGCTGAGGAACCTGAAGAAGTGCTGCTGCCAGCACATACTGTGCGATAGAACATGTGTGGTGGTTTGGGCTAGGCCTTCCTTTTTGACCAGTTTGTAACCAAGGAAGGGTCCAGATTTACCCAGTATTCCCTACGATTTTTACGTAAACCAGACTATAAGAAGGAAGGAGGAGAGGCCTTCGCTCTCTTTCCTTCCGGCGGCTTGGAGGTGCAGGTTCCCTGCTGTTGAGTCTGCCGTGTTGGGGAGCGAGGCCTGGTGAGGCCTTGTCGACCTTGGGAGGCGGACTCAACAGCAGGGAACCTGCA